GCCCAGGTTGTCAAATGACTCTCCTTGAAACTCTGTGGCCACATAGTACCTCTTCTCCAGGACCTCAGATGCCTCTCCTACACACAGATGCTTGCAAGTCAAGCAGATCCACAAAGTGGGAAACTCAGTTCACTGGCCTTGACCAAGCCATTCACTTCCTTTATAGTTTCTGTGTTTAAAATGTCTGTGTTTGTGCATTATGTGTGTGCTGAGTTAAATCAAGAATATGGGTACTTATCTACAGCATGGCAGACATTACTAAAAGACCATAATGTCTGTTTAACGAAATCCCAGTCCTGAGCTCAAACAATCAGTGAAGATACAGAAGTTGAAATCTCTCTGCAATCTCTGGACAAGATACTCTTTGAGGCTTCTCTTAGCCCAGATATTCCGGGGATTGGATTCGCAGAGCTGAGGATGGAGCTAGGGGTCAAGGTTGACTGATTTCTGGGATTTTGTGTCTCTGCTTCTATGTCTAGGGAGCTCTGGTGGCCTAATGGTAAAAAGTTGTGCTGCAATCACAAAGGCATGTGGTTTGAATCCACCAGCTGCTCTGTGGTGGAAGGATGGGCAGTCTCCTTCCATGCAATTTACTGCCTCTGAAAACTTGCTGGGAGGTCAAGTTATGAGTTGGTTCTGACCTGAAGGCACACAACAACAACCTCCTGGTGGGGAGGAGTGGATACAAGAAGAAACTAGGAAAACAAGGGAGCAGGGAAAGAAGACAAAGTATTGATGGAATGAGCAGTGTGAGGGCCTGGGATGGTCACAGGTAAGAGGAGCTCAGGGGTCCCCAAGCCCAAGGCCTCTTAACAGATGGAGACTCTGAAGTCCAGACAGGGTCGAAGGCCTATTCAGAGTCACACAGCAGAATGAAAACTAGAACTTCAGGGCTCCTGTAATGGTTTCTCCCAGGTCTAGACTCTACCCTAACTCAGCCTTAACTGGTGCCTTAAGCACCACCCAGCTGTGTTTACCTGCATGTGTATGTTTATGTATGCGTACATTCACACACAGGTGCAGAGAATGCAACTGACAGGAGCAGCTGTGCCACCTCAAAGCCTTCCATTACCTCCACCACCACGGTGCTTGCTGAGGTCTCTGTGAGCTGCCACAGCCTCTTTCATGATTCAGAGAGTGTAGGAGAGATGTGAAAAAGGGATGGTGGTGAGGTGAAGAGAGGGCCAGAAACAGAGGGAAGCAAAGGAAAGTAGGGTGAGAGAGAGCAACTGAAGACAGGGGGACAGACAGAAGGCCAAGAAGAAAGGGGAGAGGAAGGAAGAAGAGGAGGATGAAGGAGAGAAA